AGCCCTGGTCATGTCTAACACAGTAGCCCTGGTCATGTCTAACACAGTAGCCCTGGTGTACATGTCTAACACAGTAGTACATGAGCCATGTCTAACACAGTAGCCCTGGCATGTCTAACACAGTAGCCCTGGTCATGTCTAACACAGTAGCCCTGAGCATGTCTAACACAGTAGCCCTGGTCTAACATAGTAGCCCTGGCATGTAACACAGTAGCCCTGGCATGTACATAGTAGCCCTGGTCTAACACAGTAGCCCTGAGCATGTCTAACACAGTAGCCCTGGTCTAACACAGTAGCCCTGGCATGTCTAACACAGTAGCCCTGGTCATGTCTAACACAGTAGCCCTGAGCATGTCTAACACAGTAGCCCTGGTCATGTCTAACACAGTAGCCCTGATCATGTCTAACACAGTAGCCCTGGCATGTCTAACACAGTAGCCCTGGTCATGTCTAACACAGTAGCCCTGGTCATGTAACATAGTAGCCCTGGCATGTCTAACACAGTAGCCCTGGTCATGTCTAATACAGTAGCCCTGGTCATATCTAACACAGTAGCCCTGAGCATGTCTAACACAGTAGCCCTGGTCATGTCTAACACAGTAGCCGTGATCATGTCTTACACAGTAGCCCTGAGCATGTCTAACACAGTACCCCTGGTCTAACACAGTAGCCCTGAGCATGTCTAACACAGTAGCCCTGGTCATGTCTAACACAGTAGCCCTGGCATGTCTAACACAGTAGCCCTGGTCTAACACAGTAGCCCTGGTCATGTCTAACACAGTAGCCCTGGTCATGTCTAACACAGTACCCCTGGCATGTCTAACACAGTAGCCCTGGTCATGTCTAACACAGTAGCCCTGGTCATGTCTGTACACAGTAGCCCTGGCATGTCTAACACAGTAGCCCTGGCATGTCTAACACAGTAGCCCTGAGCATGTCTAACACAGTAGCCCTGGTCATGTCTAACACAGTAGCCCTGGTCATGTCTAACACAGTAGCCCTGGTCATGTCTAACACAGTACCCCTGGCATGTCTAACACAGTAGCCCTGAGCATGTCTAACACAGTAGCCCTGATCATGTCTAACACAGTAGCCCTGAGCATGTCTAACACAGTAGCCCTGGTCATGTCTAACACAGTAGCCCTGAGCATGTCTAACACAGTAGCCCTGGTCATGTCTAACACAGTAGCCCTGGTCTAACACAGTAGCCCTGGCATGTAACACAGTAGCCCTGATCATGTCTAACACAGTAGCCCTGTCATGTCTAACACAGTAGCCCTGGTCATGTCTAACACAGTAGCCCTGGCATGTCTAACACAGTAGCCCTGGTCATGTCTAACACAGTAGCCCTGGTCATGTCTAACACAGTAGCCCTGGTCATGTCTAACACAGTAGCCCTGAGCATGTCTAACACAGTACCCCTGGTGTCTAACACAGTACCCCTGAGCATGTCTAACACAGTAGCCCTGGTCATGTCTAACACAGTAGCCCTGGTCATGTCTAACACAGTAGCCCTGGCATGTCTAACACAGTAGCCCTGGTGTGTCACAGTACCTCATGTCTAACACAGTAGCCCTGGTGTCTACATAGTAGCCCTGGTGTAACATAGTAGCCCTGGTGTACACAGTACCTGGTCTGGTGTACACAGTACCCCTGGTGTACACCGTACCCCTGGTGTACACCGTACCCCTGGTGTACACAGTACCCCTGGTGTACACAGTACCCCTGGTGTACACCGTACCCCTGGTGTACATAGTACCCCTGGTGTACACCGTACCCCTGGTGTACACAGTACCCCTGGTGTACACCGTACCCCTGGTGTACACCGTACCCCTGGTGTACACAGTACCCCTGTGTATACTTAAAGGCATCGCTGGCTCCTGTAACTCAGAAACACCGTCCAACAGGTGCTCAATAACACGCCCCCTTCAGAAAAGTCAACATAAAAGTGCGCTCAGTGACTATCTTTTGTCTTTGTGCCAAACAGAACAAAAAATTGGTCCCCATTTTTGTTAAGTTATATTATATACGCGGAAGATCTATATGAATCTCCGGGGATTTTATATTCGTTCGATTTTTATTTGTAACTAAAAAAAGATTTTTTTGTGTAACTTTAAGTCTGAATTTTATTATTAATTCCGCTGATGTTCCTATTGAAAGATTTGAATGTTTCATCAGTGTACACGATGAATAGGGTGTACATACCTGGTTGATGGGGTTCTGGGAGTTTGGTCCACCAGGCTGTTGCTTGGAGCGGCCCGCAGGCCCACATATACCTGGTTGATGGGGTTCTGGGAGTTCTTCTACTGCCCAAGCCCGGCCCGAGGCCAGGCTTGACTTGTGAGAGTTTGGTCCACCAGGCTGTTGCTTGGAGCGGCCCGCAGGCCCACATATACCTGGTTGATGGGGTTCTGGGAGTTCTTCTACTCCCCAAGCCCGGCCCGAGGCCAGGCTTGACTTGTGAGAGTTTGGTCCACCAGGCTGTTGCTTGGAGCGGCCCGCAGGCCCACATACCCACCACAGCCCGGTTGGTCCGGCACTTTTTTTTAGGAAAACAGTCTAGTTTTCTCTTGAAGATGTCCACCACGGTTGTTCCGGCAATATTTCTTATAGTCGCTGGTAGGACGTTGAACAACCGCGGACCTCTGATGTTTATACAGTGTTCTCTGATTGTGCCTATGGCACCTCTGCTCTTCACTGGTTCTATTCTGCATTTTCTTTCATATAAACGAAAATGTACAGCTGGGGTGTACATTTGTGGTGTACGAAAATGTACACCACCGTACACCAGGAGTACTATGTACACCAGGGGTACTATGTACACCAGGGGTACTGTGTACACCTGGGGTACGGTGTACACCAGGGGTACGGTGTACACTAGGGGTACTGTTTACACCAGGGGTACTGTTTACACCAGGGGTACGGTGTACACCAGGGGTACTGTGTACATCAGGGGTACGGTGTACACCAGGGGTACTGTGTACACAAGGGCTACGGTGTACACCAGGGCTACGGTGTACACCAGGGGTACTGTGTACACCAGGGGTACGGTGTACAGGAGCGGGTAGAGGGCATTAAACAGGTCGCTTGGGAACAAAAACTTGCGTCCGGAGCCAGCAAGGTTAATACACTTCTTGAAGGTTACTCGTGTGGCAGGTGTTTAGCAGGTGTTGAAGGTCAACAGGTGTTGAAGGTCAGGTGTTATAGTCACCTGAGAATATGATAATAAAGGAAATGCAGCTCCTACTGGTCCATACGAGGCAGCTCCTATTGGTCCATACGAGGCAGCTGCTATTGGTCCATACGAGGCAGCTCCTATTGGTCCATACGAGGCAGCTCCTATTGGCCCATACGAGGCAGCTCCTATTGGTCCATACGAGGCAGCTCCTATTGGTCCATACGAGGCAGCTCCTATTGGCCTATACGAGGCACCTCCTATTGGACCATACGAGGCAGCTCCTATTGGTCCATACGAGGCAGCTCCTATTGGTCCATACGAGGCAGCTCCTATTGGTCCATACGAGGCAGCTCCTATTGGTCCATACGAGGCACCTCCTATTGGACCATACGAGGCAGCTCCTATTGGTCCATACGAGGCAGCTCCTATTGGACCATACGAGGCAGCTCCTATTGGTCCATACGAGGCAGCTCCTATTGGTCCATACGAGGCAGCTGCTATTGGTCCATACGAGGCAGCTCCTATTGGTCCATACGAGGCAGCTGCTATTGGTCCATACGAGGCAGCTCCTATTTATATCCACCCCAAACTCAACATATGGTATTTACATCCATTGCTTTGTGCTTTATTTTTAGTAAATAGATATAATAACACATTCATTTTTCTTTAACCTTTTCATTCATTTACTCACGTCACTCACGTCAATCATTACTCATCCTGTGTCAAGTGATTAGTCTGACGAGTCGTCTTCACAGGCAATAATGACCTATACATTAACTGTCAAAATATTTACCCAGTTACCCAGCAGTCCGGTAAACAGTTTTTACCTCATTATAAAGGAAATAAATTCGTCTTTACTCGTAATTTCTACTTTGACTTCGCTAAATCATTTATTTAAATAATATATATGTGGAAAATTTTTTTGCTTTCATCGAATTTATAAAATATGTATTAGTTCATTGTAAATCTCAATGTCATCTTTATGATCTAAATAATCTTATTTTACCTACAAAATCCATTGTCCATAATGAGACATTTTTTTACCTTTTTTTTTAACATCAAATGTTATTTGTTTTCCATCCCATAGATCTCCACATTTGTTCTATGTTGAAAAAAAATAAAATAACACGTGATTAGTACGGATAAAATTCTCCTTTTGCACATGAGCCGGACTGTCTGTTCACAGCCAAAAGATCCCGGGTTCGATTCCTACAGCAGGAGAGTGAATGGAGACCTTTTTGGCAGTCTCCATTCACTACTGGAAGCCAGCAGTTAGTCAACTGGTGCAGGCTGCATGGGGGAAGGTCAGTGGTTGACCTTGACCTTAATTACCCTAACTACCTTACTGCCCCATTCAGAGGAAAACCAAACGTTAATAACATTTGCTAACACAACAACATCTCACCATTAATATAACAATAGTATTTCCTTGTTTAACGTTGGTTTGGTGTCGGACTTAAGGCCTATATCAACCTCTACAGGGACATTAAGGCCACCACAACAGTTTACTGACCAACCAGCAAGTATACTGTAGACATAGTAAACCATTAGTGTACCCATTAATACCTACCATATATAAAGCACAAGACTTTACGCGTAAAGCCAACTTTAAACACAACCTCAACATTCCCATCACATAACGTCCCCGAAACGTTTTTTAAACGTTATTACATCCTTAAAACGTTTTATCAAAGTAACAAGAATAAAATGACGTCATGAATACGTTCTGAGCCTAACAGGTTCTGACGCTGAAGAACAAAAAATAGACTTTAAGGTCGTAAAGAAGAAAACATTGTCCAAGAATATGGAAGGGGAGACTTGCCTGATCTGATGATGCTGGTGTTGTAAGAGGGAGCTGAAAGAAAACGGAATAGGGGATCAAGCAGGGTAGACTACGGACAAAGTAGCCTACGTGCAATTTTTCATATATACTCATGCAAGAAATTGTCAAGAGAATTTAAACAGAATTACAGAAGCAACTTTGAACTTAACACATAACAGAAGAGTTAAACAATGAGTGGGGGAAAAAAATATGAACTTGAAAAAGGTAAAAAAAAGATATATTAAACATTAAACCTGTACACACACACACACACACACACACACACACACACACACACACACACACACACACACACACACACACACTAGGAAAATCATATTTAATTTCAAACAGTTCGGGTCTTGTTTTGTCTCAAGTCATAAATCAGTGTGTATCCAGTCACCTGTCATCTCCACGCCAGTCTTGTGGGTGTCAATGGTCACACTGGAGACATACAGACATGTATACATAAATATATTACATGTATACATGCACACTTACAGTCATACATGAGTTGAGAGGCTGGGCCAAAGAGCTAAAGCTCAAACCCTGCAAGTACAACTAGGTGAGTACATGACGGTATTCACTATACCCCCCCCCCCCACTCTTCCCCCTCACCGGTAAGGATTCGAACCTGGTCCATAAAAGTGTAATCTAAACATACACACTACTTCAGCCATGTACACAAAATATCATTCTTGTTCAATCCATACACCTGTATGCATACACATATACACATACATAGCAGTTTAGGTCATAGTATGATAAGTATATAATGAAGTGTTAGCAAGGGAAGATAACGTGCTGTGATAACTTCTTCCCTGAAGACGTCATACTGATTACTACGTCACTGGTGGAGACGTCATACTGACCTCTACGTCACTGGTGGAGACGTCATACTGACCTCTACGTCACTGGTGGAGACGTCATACTGACCTCTACGTCACTGATGGAGACGTCATACTGACCTCTACATCACTGATGGAGACGTCATACTGACCTCTACGTCACTGGTGGAGACGTCATACTGACTACTACGTCACTGATGGAGACGTCATACTGACCTCTACGTCACTGGTGGAGACGTCATACTGACCTCTACGTCACTGGTGGAGACGTCATACTGACCTCTACGTCACTGGTGGAGACGTCATACTGACCTCTACGTCACTGATGGAGATGTCATACTGACCTCTACGTCACTGGTGGAGACGTCATACTGACCTCTACGTCACTGGTGGAGACGTCATACTGACCTCTACGTCACTGGTGGAGACGTCATACTGACCTCTACGTCACTGATGGAGATGTCATACTGACCTCTACGTCACTGACGGAGACGTCATACTAACCTCTACGTCACTGGTGGAGACGTCATACTGACTACTACGTCACTGATGGAGATGTCATACTGACCTCTACGTCACTGATGGAGACGTCATACTGACCTCTACGTCACTGGTGGAGACGTCATACTGACCTCTACGTCACTGATGGAGACGTCATACTGACTACTACGTCACTGACGGAGACGTCATACTGACCTCTACGTCACTGGTGGAGACGTCATACTGACCTCTACGTCACTGGTGGAGACGTCATACTGACCTCTACGTCACTGATGGAGACGTCATACTGACTACTACGTCACTGGTGGAGACGTCATACTGACCTCTACGTCACTGGTGGAGACGTCATACTGACCTCTACGTCACTGATGGAGACGTCATACTGACCTCTACGTCACTGATGGAGACGTCATACTGACCTCTACGTCACTGGTGGAGACGTCATACTGACCTCTACGTCACTGGTGGAGACGTCATACTGACCTCTACATCACTGATGGAGACGTCATACTACCCATTAGTATGCTGGTATATGCGTCACACGAACCCATGGTATTCTAGCATACACATCATACTAACCACTAGTATACTATTGTATACCTCACACTAACACCCAAAAATGGACCGTTTACTTTATAAAAAAAAAAATACATTCAAATGGACATACACGTAACTCAAATTATACAGAAAACGAAGAATATAATTACAGGACAACATTAAGGTAGTTAATATGGTGATTACAAAGGGTAACGTAAGACTACTTTTCATGCACCACAGACATAAAAGTGACGTGTTAAAGCAGAAGCAGACAAGACATGCCAGGGGGGTCAGGCAACACTCGATGAAGCACATAAATGCAAAAATATTCATGAAAAAAGTTTGAAAGGTGTACTTTAATGATGAATTAACTGGTATTCATCGCGTATTCTTACACATCCTATAACTCATCTTAATTAGCACTGTGATGCCGGTGGGATCACCCGAGGAGCCTGTTGATCCTAGTTCCCTAGGGGGACACTTAAGAGTGATGATCTCAAAAGTAACTTTTGAGTTACTTTAGTCGCCCCATAATGAGCCTCACTCTCAACCTCCGTATGAGTGACAACAGAAAACGAGGTGTTATTTTGAATCTGTTTCTTGTACAGGACCTTGGTGTACTAACCAGGATTAGCTCCCGGTGTAATAGAACGTCGCGTTTTGACGTATACTTTACCCGTATACGAAATAACGTATATACGAAATTAACACACCGTCCCGTTTTCTGTTTGTGGGTCACTTGGTAGGTTACGTTAGGTCACTTTAGTACGACAATTTCTTGGCGTTAAAACACTCATGAGAACGGAGTGGGTGATTAGCCCCTGCCCCCAATGACTCCTCATAGTCTTCAGTATTCAGGTAAGAATATTTCAATTATATGACCATCATTCTCTACATGAAACTCTAACAATACAGAACATAAACTATATTAAAAATATCATCAATTGAATGGTTATGAGTAAAGCTTTACAATCACTGAAATAGAAAAACAAAATTTACGATGAAAGTGTAGGCCTACCTACCAGAATTATCATTATTGTTGAATTAGTATTTCAGGTTTCCCATTATTAATAATATGGTCAAGCATCACACATTGTTGTTAAATGAAGGAGTTATTAACATTTTCAAATATCAGTATTTAACATAATTGATTTCTTCATGTTCATAATACAGTATTGTATTCTGTATTTAAGTTCAGTAATTGACGTTAAGTGGTACAATGTTTTTATTAAATCAAATAAGACAGTAATTCACTTTATTTAAAGTATTTTACCACTTTAATTAATATATATATATATATATATATATATATATATATATATATATATATATATATATATATATATATATATATATATATATATATATATATATATATTTGCCTAAATGAGGTTAAGAAAGGATTTTGTCTTTATTATTTAATATTTTATATTTTTATGCATTTCATCTGGATTAGCCTAGATTTTTGTCACAATTAAAATTCATTAGTTTAGTCGCCAAACATTTATTTTAACATTAATCTAATATATATGCCTATAATTTCTAAAAAAATTAAGAACAAGTGTTTTAATTGCATTTAGTGCTTAACAAAAAGCTTATGGAAAACATATTCAAAACAATCATGTTTTTTTTTCTTAGCTTGAGTGATTAGCAGATAATATTTGCCCATTAAGAATATAATAATCTGGTATAATATTATTTGTCTCTTCATAAAACTATAAATTTAACACGAGTTACAGACATACAGAGCATATACAGATTACACGAGGGACCCGACAAAAGCATCATCTCTATAGCTCCAGGTTGTGTAGTGGAGAATGCTTGACTTATGCAAGGTTTACGTCAAGCTAAGAGCGCTCCAGAGGTCACTTGTCCGGAGGGTGTTCTTAGGAAGAAAGACCAAGTGATCTCTGGGGCACTTTTGGCTTTACATAAACCGGCTATAAGTCAGGTTTTCTCAACAACACAACCCTGGCGCTGTATTGATAATCCGTCATGTTAAATGAATAAAGTTCAGTGTGTCTGTAGCTCTTATTTAATATTTATTTTATAGAAAGATAAAAAAAATAATATAAAATCAAGATATTATATAGTTAATTATTTATTAAATATTAACTATAAATCGTTTAAACAAAGAGAAGCCAATAATTTCTGTAATCAATATGTCTTTTTCCATAAAATTTTTATTTACTACTAAATGTAGTTCTACCAAAAAGTTTAATATTTAAATAATTAAACTCAAGGCTTACATATTAGATTGATTCATAGCAATTTAAATATTGAAGAATAACCTTATGAATTTTCCTTAGGACAAAAATGTATCTTAACTCTCAGTATGTTTAGTATGTTTGCCACATTACAATAATGTGTATACTTTGAAATCTTTTACGCAGATGAAATACATAAAAATACACAACACTAAATGTTACAGATAAAATCCTTAACTAACCTCACATAAGCTAATAATTTATTAAAGAACAGATTTTAAAGTGGCATAAGACATTGAATAATTTATGGTACGTTAATGTCTACCGTATTTATTTTTGTTGTAATTGAAATATTACCTAATATTAATAATGAATTTGTTAATATGAGGAAACAAATGGAAGTAATTAATGTTAAAACACTTATACTTGAATTATATGTTGTTTAAGACTTCAGTCACTGAGAATGCTTCTTAGATCCTGCAGTTAACATGGGGCCTTATATATATACCTTGAAAGTATTATGAATATTGGGAAGCCTGAATTACTCATTTACTTTATGCCGATTCTGGTTATAAATATCTCGTGAAGATGATCTTTATCCGAAATCATTGGATTTTTAATATAATGAATTGAAGTTATTTGTCATTAATACGGTAAAAATATTAATGTTTTATCTGTTTAATGACAGACGGAAATACAAATTAATTATAAACTCTTATCATGAAAGGTCTAAAGTTCAGCGAATGCATATGTATATTTCTAAATGTCCCCCCCCCCCACGCGTGTCTGTTCCTGGCGCGTCCAACCCTACACTCTCTCTGATGATTGTGTAATTAACAGAGACTCACTAATAAAACTTAAGGTTTATTGTGCCATCAGAAAGACAGTTGTATAAAGGTCCTTATGACCACATTTCAAGACAAATATCTTAAATGGGAGCAAAGAGATATGAAGATGAAGAATACCTAGGCCGCGCCGGTGCCTGGCTTACAGAGAACTACTTATGCATCCCTGGGATACGGCCAAACGTATGTGATTGGTCAAGGGAAGAGAGGTTCCTTCTCTCTGATTGGTCAGATGAGAAGTACTAGTGACCTCTGTCAACACGCAGGTGAACTAGAGCTAAATCATTAATAAGTTCGCAACAAACCTTTTCTGAATCGAGCACAGAATTCTTTCCCAAGCACCTTTGTGACCAAATCAGTTCCAGGTCTCTGACTTAATTCTTACTCAAGATATTTTCACTCTCTTTGTTCTCATATCCCAGCTCTTAGTCCGTCCTCATATCCCAGCTCTTAGTTAACCAGCCGCATGTTTGAAAGGCTTGTCTTAGAAGCTCAATAACTGGAAAACAAAAAATAAAATTTTCCAATACCCGCTACTTGTCTGAACCACCGGAACCACCACCACCACCACCACCATCTCCAGCACCACCACCACCACCACCACCACCACCACCACCACCATCTCCAGCACCACCACCACCACCACCACCACCACCATCTCCAGCACCACCACCACCACCATCTCCAGCACCACCACCACCACCACCACCACCATCTCCAGCACCACCACCACCACCACCACCATCTCCAGCACCACCACCCCCACCCCCACCACCACCATCTCCAACGCCACCACCATTACTACATAACACTATTGATTAATGACATGTCTTACAGCCGTATTGTACATAATGAGATTATTTTTGTTTTCTTAACTTTACTGATGTTCGAATTATTTGTCGTGTGTGACCTTGAAGATGTAGATGTTTTCTGGAGTGGTTTGTTTGAGCACTGAGTTAGCAGTGCAGTTAGCACAAGCGCTTCTGCAGGCTCCTTCAGCAGCCATGGTGCTATCATGTCTGCTTTCACTGCTTGTGGTGAGCCTGATGAGTCCTCCTGGCGTTGTTTTCTCTCTTCATCTGTGGCTACTCATCGTTATCACCACTACCACCAACACAACAATCACCATTACCACCATCAGAACAATCACCACCACCATCAACACCACCACCAAAACAATCACCATCACCACTACAACAATCATCACCACTACCACCATCAGAACAACCACCATCACCACTACCACCATCAGAACAACCACCACCACCACTACCACCATCAGAACAACCACCACCACCACTACCACCATCAGAACAACCACCATCACCACTACCACCATCAGAACAACCACTACCACCACAACCACCTAAACACCAAACATTACGTCATTTAAAATCTAAATTAGGACCCTTTCAAGGTAGTGTACAGTTGTACACATGCCACAGTAGACCCATACTGGTGTATGCAGTACTGACCTGGAACCCGTACCCTGAGAAGCACAAAACTGAAACAAGTGCAGAGGTTTGCAACAACAGTGCCGGCACTAGAAGCGTTTAGCTACGAGAACAGGTTAAGGGAACTAACGCTGACACCATCAGAGAAGTAACAGAGGGGATATGATTGCAACATATAAAATATCGGTGGGAATAGGCGAAGTATACCCGAACAAGGAAGATTAAATTAAGAGAAAGCATGATAAAAGCGAAAGATGAAATGAGTCGAAAACATGTGAAGAAACACAAGCGCCCTGTACGAGTAGCCAAGAACTAGAATGCACTGATGGAATAAGTTCTAAAAGCCACCTCCATCCACACAAAAATTATGGCTAGTTTTGACAGTGAATTCGAACGACAAAGTTAACAACTGATAAACACCTGAGCCTCACACTCTACACACATGTTAGAAGATGATTTCGCTATGAACATGTGCTTTAGAGGGTAAAGGTGTAAAATACAAGCATGGCAGCTGAATCATTCATTGGTCCCACCTGCACCCACGTCCCCCTACTGACGCCCTACTTCCCAGGTCCCCCCTACTGACGCCCTACTCCCCACGTCCCCCCACTGACGCCCTACTGACGCCCCACTCCCCACGTCCCCCCCACTGACGCGCCACTCCCCACGCCCCCCTACTGACGCCCCACTCCCCACGCCCCCCCACTGACCACCCCACTTACTCAGCACCACCACCACCACCACCAGACACCTACCTCTGTCATGGAGGATAGACACTCTGTTATCGTTGGTGATGCTTCGCTCAGCGACGGTGAGGATGGTCTTCCTGCCGTCCTCGTGTTTGCTCCACCACACAGTGTGGTTGCCTAGGTCAGCAACCACACACGTCAGTAAGATGTCTTCTCCCTCTCGAAATGCTCGCGGGGCGTTGGCCGTGTTGCGGATGAATGGGGCGGGATCCGAACCTGTAGAGAGAACACCTTGTTACTCTTTCAAGATAACACCACACACACAGTGACAGGAACACGGGTGATAAAGGGAAGAATTGCACACTACCTCGAGGGGGTTCGAACTCCAATCACTCTGAAGCTCGATTTGTTCCTTTATTCATTCCTAGAAATCTTCCAATCAGAAACGTGCTAATCAGTCTTCCTAAATGATGTGTTAATCCCTGATTTTCCCTTAATAAATGACGGTGATCGCTTAGTTTCCATTTACATTGACCAAATGCCTTTGTAACATTTGTTAATGCAACATATGTAATTTCTGTTGCTTCTAATGCCTTTGTAGGATTCCGTAGTGATATCGAGGCGAGATATTACTGCCAAGGACAGGGGCTGGAGCGTGACTTCTGGAACCTTGCTCGGCTCCCGCGCGCACGCACACACACGCACACACACACACACACACACACACACACACACACACACACACACACACACACACACACACACACACACACACACACAATCATCCCCCACATCACCTACCTCGTCCAAAAATATTCTAGCGTCCGTTTTACACTAAGCGGACCAGAAAATTGTTCATAATGCACGCAAAATTTTCTCTCCTGTTTTTTTGCATCGTTTCGTTAGTAATAGAGCGATGTATCAACACCACTCTGACATACAGAGAAAATTGGCCTGATAACAACGGGAAAATAAAGCCGCACGAAATTTCTTCCCGGCCTCGGATGAGTTGCTGTCCAGTGAGTCAAAGAGATGAAAGTCAAGGCTGCTGGACGTGCCACAGCGTACAAAATACGACGTCCTAACCTAACACACCAACCCCCAAGCCACCCACCTAACCTAGCTATAGCTGTTGCATAGAAAACGGATATTTGTGAGTCGCAAATAAACTATCTATGAACTATCTTAATGTATTAGTGCATATCTTAATTTTGTTGATACTTAGACCTAGGTTAAGTTTTTTTTTAATTGTGTTGGTAATTAGCATAGTTGCATCTACAGTACGTGGGTGAAGCCTTTAGAGACGAGCCGTTCGAACACATTCGAACACGCAAAAGAGTGAAACACTGCTCAGGAAAAATTCGAACATAATCAGTTGTGAGACATACGTAAGGTGTTTCTCATTCATAAACGATCATTTGACCGGTGTTTATGGGGCCAGGGCGCCAGATTAACGACCATTGGGGTCATTGTTTACGAGGGCGGCCTCTGTAATGGGTGCAATGCTACTTCTTGACTTCACTTAAACAAAGCTGCAGAATGAGCCGCCTCGCTAAGCGAAGATAATTGTTGTTCTTGTTTCAGATTTAGCTACTCAGAACGAGGTGTCCATGTAGCACGGTCTATGGTGAGCCCGGAAACACAAGATGAATATAAACTCATTGCTATACCTCCAGGCCTTTGTAATGAGCTGTATGGGATACCCGGCAGTACCCGGGTCTCTCCCACGTCACCTACTAAGTCTATACCCACACACATTCTCTCCATCTCCCGGAAGGTTCACAGGCCCCGCTCCTGTGTCAGGTAAGTCCACTACGGGATCACCATAGCCCGTGCTACTTAGAATTTGTTCCGAGTAGCTGAATCTGAATGGGGGTGTCCATGGGGGGTGTCCAACCCCCATTGACTGCCAGTAAGACTGTACATACAGCCACCAGTCATCATGCAAAGTTTCGTGCGACTAGCCCCGAGCGTCTGGCTCCCAACCTCAGGCAGATATTCAAATTTAAGGACAGACATATTAATGCCATCATAAATACAACAATTATTGCTTGCAACGTTTTATCTTTCTTCGGTATTATAATGATTACTGAAATTGTTTGCAATAATGCATAATATTATGTAGTGTATAATGTATCATATATAACTATAATACATCAAGTTATTGACTTTTCTTACGATTTAAATATTAAAAAAGTGAAATTCAGTAAACAATCAACAATAAACATAAACATACATAAGATATTACACACAGAAATCCCATTATCGTGATAGATCAATGAGAAAACCCACAGGTGCCATAGGTTCGAACCTACGCGCAGGGTGGTTCCCAGGCACACGCTCTAGTACCCCAGGTTACGACTCTTTTGACTATGTCGTGGTGTAGTCGTCTATAGCGTGCATCTGGGACCCCCCAGCGCAGAGATTCGAACCCTCATCACGGCACCCGTGGATTTTCTCATTGATCTATCACGATAATGGGATTTCTGTGAGATTTCTAATAATGGGATCTATTTCTGATTTTAATATATCTTTATTTATATATCTACATATCTACATAGACATATTTACTGAGATATGTCTCATTATACACTACTGGAGCGTGTGATACTGAAGTATTACACGGTTCTTATATGTGTCAGTTGTGGGAGTGTGGGGTTCAGTCTAGTGACGTTCAAGATGCATGATGCAGGCCACAACAGCCTGGCTGTAAATTAGTATCCCAAACACACTGAAGTAAACGTAGAAAAGGACATTTCAGTCCATCCTGATTTTCCAGTTTCCTCAACAATTAAGCTATTTACAGTACAACAATAAAACTCTTTTGCGTGCAGCCATTCTATCAAATTACTAAATTATGATAATCTCAATTTACATTTCAATTAATATTTAGATTCCCAAGCCTTTAATTATTTCCTCTGCACGGATTTTGCTCACAAAAGTGTTTAGGGAATAGGCTCAGCTCTCATTATATTAATAACGAAAGAGCTCATTTTTTTAATTTATGTGTGACTCATCTCCTGGCCATCTATGACTCATTATTAATGAATTATCAACTATCAATCATCATTGTCTATCAACATCAACTCTTGCAGCCACGGGCGTCATGGCTGGGCTCAATATTCTCCTGGTTAATTGCTGTAACTTTACAATAATTTGCATACTTGTTTGGGTTTATACTTTTAACCATTGTGAAAGGAATCTGAGCATTGTTGAGGTGTTCATCTCCTTTACTGTTAACGGGAGCCTGCAACCCTCACAATCACTGCTACTGTTAACAGAAACCTGTCACTCTCACACCACACTCAGAGGGTGTGGGTGTAGGGGCCAGCCAAAGGGTGAGGTGTAGGAGCCAGCCAGAGGGTGAGGGTGTAGGGGCCAGCCAGAGGGTGAGGTGTAGGGGAGGAGTCGTTGTGGCTGCCAGGAAAAGGTGAAGTCTTTGTATTGGCAAGGTGTAGCGGTGTTGTGTGAGGGAAGAGAGATTGGTTATTAAGGTCTGACTGAGTAGCCAGAATTGGGTTGGGAAAATGGGTGGAGGACAACCAGGGTGGTGGGGACTGAGGTGGCAACCCACCCGTCTTGTTCACCACCTGCACACACAATGACACCTATTCATTCTGCAATGTTGCAAATCCATCTTAATGGGAGGAAAATGTGTTCGTTTACCCGTATTGACTCGTGCAGTGAGGCCCTGGTGTTGCAGAGAGCCGTGCACCGGCTGCAGGTGGTGAAAAGGTTGTGTTCTGGGTGAGAGGGGAGATTACAGCAGGCTGTGTAATGAGCATGGTGAGCTGTTTACCAGTTGTTCCACTGAAAACTGGTGGTCATTAGTGTGTGTGTGTGTGTGTGTGTGTGTGTGTGTGTGTGTACTCACCTATATGTGCTTGCAGGATCGAGCATTGACTCTTGGATCCCGCCTTTCTAGCTATCGGTTGTTTACAGCAATGACTCCTGTCCCATTTCCCTATCATACCTAGTTTTAAAAGTATGAATAGTATTTGCTTCCACAACCTGTTCCCCAAGTGCATTCCATTTTTCTACTACTCTCACGCTAAAAGAAAACTTCCTAACATCTCTGTGACTCATCTGAGTTTCCAGTTTCCACCCATGTCCCCTCGTTCTGTTATTATTACGTGTGAACATTTCATCTATTTCCACTTTATCAATTCCCCTGAGTATTTTATATGTCCCTATCATATCTCCTCTCTCCCTTCTTTTCTCTAGTGTCGTAAGGTTCAGTTCCTTCAGCCGCTCTTCATATCCCATCCCTCGTAACTCTGGGACAAGCCTCGTCGCAAACCTCTGAACCTTCTCCAGTTTCTTTATGTGTTTCTTCAGGTGGGGGCTCCATGATGGCGCGGCATACTCTAAGACGGGTCTCACGTAGGCAGTGTAAAGTGCCCTAAAAGCTTCCTCATTTAGGTTTCTGAATGAAGTTCTAATTTTCGCCAGTGTAGAGTACGCTGCTGTAGTTATCCTATTTATATGTGCCTCAGGAGTTAGATTAGGTGTCACATCCACTCCCAGGTCTCTTTCTCGAATCGTTACAGGTAGGCTGTTCCCCTTCATTGTGTACTGTCCCTTTGGTCTCCTGTCACCTGATCCCATTTCCATAACTTTACATTTACTGGTGTTAAACTCCAGTAGCCATTTCCCTGACCATCTCTGCAGCCTGTTTAAGTCCTCTTGGAGGATCCTACAATCCTCGTCTGTCACAACTCTTCTCATTAATTTTGCGTCATCTGCAAACATTGACATGTATGATTCCACTCCTGTAAACATATCATTTACGTAAATTAGAAAGAGGATTGGTCCCAGCACCGATCCTTGAGGTACTCCACTTGTTACTGTTCGCCAGTCCGACTTTTCGCCCCTTACCATTACCCTCTGGCTCCTTCCTGTTAGGTAGTTCTTCACCCATACTAGGGCCTTTCCGCTTACTCCTGCCTGCCTCATGTGTGTGTGTGTGTGTGGGTGTGTGTGTGTGTGTGTGTGTGTGTGTGTGTGTGTGTGTGTGTGTGTGTGTGTGTGTGTGTGTGTGTGTGTGTGTGTGTGAACTCACCTAATTGTGTTTACGGGGGTTGAGCTCTGGCGCTTTGGTCCCTCCTCTCAACTGTCAATCAACTGGTGTACAGATTCCTGAGCCTACTGGGCTCTATCATATCTACACTTAAAACTGTGTATGGAGTCAGCCTCCACCACATCACTGCCTAATGCATTCCATCCGTTAACTACTCTGACACTGAAAAAGTTCTTTCTAACGTC